CATGTGCTGTCTGCCCTGGGGCAGCTGGTAACCAGCAGCCTTGGGGCACAGCACCAAAGTGACCTTGATCCAGACAGGACCACCTCTAGCCACCACATGCACCCAAAGACACGCATTTCATGAGCCCCCTGCCAGAAAGTGTCTGAAGGCCCCAACAGGAGGATGATTTTTCACTGCACAATGCCGTGGCAGCCCTTTGGAAGACCAGCATTACCAAACTAAGCACACCCTGGGAGACAGCCCAAGGCTCACAGTGACTCATGGTGCAGACACAGCCATACACAAAGCAGCCTGTGGGATTCTCTGGGGAGAAGCAGACAAGGAGAGGCAACATGCAACTTGCACAACATCCTGCCCAAATCCTGAAGGGAAGGAACAGTATCTCACTGCTGGCCAAGGCAGGCTTAATATGTTTGTCTCCAGCAGTCTCTATATAAAAGGAGTGGACAGCCTTTTTGATATCAAGCGCTGTGCCCAACACACTCATAGATAAGGGACTCTAGGTTTCCATGTGCTACCAAAGTTTAGACACACTGACTTCACAAAGAGGCTTTGCAGCCCACTGAATACCAGCTTAAGACCACGGCATGTCTCAATAGCCAGTTCCTTCCTGAGCCACGGGCAACACTCTGTGAAGGCTCAGGGCAAGTAGCTGTAATTCTGGTAGTCTGCAAGTCCTGCAAGTAACTTAGCAAGCAACAAAGGCACTTACCAAAGTAGACCTCATGGCCTAAGCCTTAACTCAGTACAGCTGCTGCCAGTGACAGGGCCACTACAGAACTTCATTGTCTAGCATGTCAACTAGCTATTGGTAACTTGTGTATTTTTCCAAACGTTCTAAAACAAGACACAGACAAATTTCCATCTGAATTTAAACAGTTTTTAACAGAAGAAACAATTTAAACAGAGAAAATTTAAATTAAATTGAATGACTTGATAGGAGTTCTTTTTCTAATGTAAAAGGAAAATCCTTTAAAACTCAATTCATTTTTTGCTTCTGGCTCTTAATGATTTCTTTATTGCTTAGACATGATAAAGCAGCAGGGTCAATCATTCTTCTACATTTTTATACCTTCAAGAACCTAACATTTATTTCCATACAAAATAATTTGAAAGAAAAGTATTCAGTCATCTTGCCAAAAAACAAAACAAAACAAACAAAAAAATAATTAAAAAATAAAACAAACAAACAAACAAACAAAAAAACAACAAAAAAAAGAAGCTTTTGGGATGATTGATCCTTTTAGTCAACAAGACAGCTAGGATTCCACTCTAGCTGCTTAGGTTATATCTGGCCCTCACTGGGGCAGGAGTTCAGAAATAACAAATGTATTGAAAAGGAGGCAGCATAATCAAATATTTGAGATTTGATCAATTCCTTTCTCAACAGATGACAGCATCCAATATTATATGGCTTGATTCACAGCTATCCAACACTCAAACACTTCCATACGTACACACACAATCACACTCTGCATAGAACCACATTTTGGTAATAATGGCATTGCTTCAATTACCCTCATCTTGGCCTGTATTCTCTTGTGCTCCCAAGAGTGTGCTCTTGGGTGCTCTTGTGCACCCAAAAGTGAGTAAGGAAACTTTGACTGTGTTAGTCTAGAAAGAATCACAGAGGCAATAAGCAAGACCGCTGGCAGGACCCATTTCCCTCTTGTTCTGTATAGCTCACATTAACTCAGCTTTTTTGGTCCCATATATTTTAGGGAAAGCCTCTCAAAACCAATCCTGAGACAGTTTATTTTATGTTGTTAGACCTGTTCTCCATTTAGTTTCCAGGGAAAGTCTTTATCCTTGGTCCTTGGGATCTGGTAGGTGGCAGTGCCTCTCCGACATTTTGATCTCAGGGGTGCTGTGTAATCCAATGCCCCTCAGATTAATTCAGCCATTGCTACAATTTGGGAGGCTAACCAACAAACTGCTTTCAGATCACCTGCTGCTGCACAATGTGAGTTTTCAAGTTCATGTGATGGAGAACAAGCTAAGAGCATGAACTGAAGCTTTGCTGTCCTTTAGTTTACACAGATCAGTGCTTCTTGGTGCCTGCAGTTCTGCAGAGCCTTGGCATACATGCATAGCCATGGCATGTTCAGTGCTGTCTTACATGTTTGCAAGATGCTGTTAAATAATTTTTCTCCTCCATGAGTCAAGAAATCTTATAAAAGTGACTCCATGAGAAGACTGAGAAGCTTAAGGCAGTGAGATGGGCACGCTGGTGTAGGAGTTTTACACCAGCATGGAAACTAGAGCCCAAAATCCACTTTTCCTAGGCAAGGATTTAAACAGGAGGCTGAAGTGGGCAGCACATTAATTTCTTGCTGCTTTCTGACTCCCTTTGTATTGCCTGAGTCTCCCTGCTGTCCTCTCTATTCTGTACTGGGCTTAATGGACTCTTGGCTCCCCTGCTTCAGTGTGTAGGGAATGTCAACACCTCGTGGTGGATCCTCCTCAGTGGCAAGGCATCTAAGAGGCAGACTCAAATATTTAGCCAGGCAATGCTCTGGCTATTTGGTGACCCAGTGTCTTCAGACAGCCTCGTACCAAGCAACACTGCCCTCTGGGTCAGCAAAACTGTACCAAACATCCTATCCACCCATCTTCCAAAACTGGGCTGAGCAAACTGTTCGTTGGAATAGCAGCATTATGGGTCTGAAGCCAAAAGTTCAGATCTAAGTCACTTCAAATTTGTTTGCAGCCTGAATATTTACTCAAAATTATTTTTCTGCATTCAGATTTAGAAAGTAGAGAAGGAAGAAAATATTAAACACACCTACTACTGCTTCCAGGCTTCTACAGTTGCTAGAAACCTGGACCTCAAAGAGGAGCTAGCAAAATGCAGCAACAGACCTACGTTCAGTGAATTTAAAGGCCAAAGACTGACTACTGAAAATGACCTCCATGTTTCCAGACTAAAATTCCATTCCTATAATTCCTGGAGGTATGAATAAAGGAGTAAATAGGGAGTGAATAAAGATATGTGCTGGTTGATATGATCTCCCTCCTTGTTAGGCTTATTAGCTTGATTAAATGCTATTTTGAGCCACTACACTAATTCCAGCTTCCAAATAAATTAAAATCTGATAGCCACATTATCTCCATGGCCACTGTGGCTAGTGGGCTTTGATCCCAGCAGGCTTCTGATGCAGAAGTCTCATTAATGCATCAGGTATGGTAACCATTTTAAATGCACTACAAATGTCTTGTCCATGTTCTAGGCCATTGCTGGGTCAAAAACTACAGTGTTAAGTAATTTACACATACATGTTTTCTGGACTGTCTGTTTTTTATTAGAGTCTATGCCACAAGGTTCTGCTGAAAGTGATTTGTTTTAACCCAAGTGAAGTAACTGTATGGGTATGCTCTGACCTTCTGTCACACTTTTCAAAGACAAAAAGAAGACTTCCATTAGCCAGCAGATGAGAGAAAGGGAGTACAGCTCAAGTACTCTCTGGTACCCAGATCTGCTGGCCTTTCACTGATGGTCTTCTTCAAGCAAGGAAAGTCTCTGCTTCAAGACCTGGTTAAAGCAAAGAAGTACCCATCATATTTTAGGTAGCCTGCTCACAGCAGACTGTAACCACAAACCTAACATTCTTCTTTGCTTTCTCCACAGAAATCAGCTTGTTAAGGAGTTAAGGAGACTGACCTGCAGTCAGGCCAGATTAGGACAGCTGATCCCCTTCCAGCTCTGGCAGTGGCTGAAGCCAACCAACAGGAGCTTCTCTTCCTCTACCAGGAAGAACATATAATCAAGCATCAAGACTGTGGCTATTAGCTGATTTAAACGGTTTAGTGGGCTAAAACAGAAGGGCCTATCAAATTAGGACATCCCTACTTCAAATAATTTAATATATTAACATCCTTCTGGGCACTGTATTGGGAGGTTTGGTACAAATATTTCCTTTCTCTGATGTCAAATACATGCCTGCACAATTCATCCTGTGATAGGTCAAGTGATTAGGTTTTAACAAAAGGAACTAGGCATTTAGGAGTTTTAGCACCAGGCTCACACCTCTGTCCTCCCTGCTCAACTAAAGGATTTTTCTCATTCCTCACTACTGTTAACAACAGGTACTTAGAGCAATTAGTCATTCTCGCCTCTCTGGTCTTTATCACTTCCTAGCTTAGCATCAGCTACTTAGTATGCAATAAAAAAAAAAGCTGAATTAACAGGATGGGTGCTGCTTTCCTTATTTATTCTGTATGAAAACACTGGGTCATGGAGCCACACAGGCAGGCTGTGATCTGCAATGCTTTAGACCATAATTGCCATTTGCCACAGTATTTTATAAAGGGGAAAACCACAGGTAGCAAATGAACAGACATAGAGCGATTATAGAGAAGGTGATTTGGGAAATACAGGTAGACCATAGAGTCATAAAGACTGCAGGGATTTCAGGTTCAGCAGAATAGCTTTGCAGCTCTGCCTGTGCTGGGAATTAGCTGCCACACAGGCCTGCCAGTTGCACAGGCAAGCCTAGGGATGCAGGTATGAAGTATTGCTCATGTGAAAATAAAACCCCAGGACTACTGAACAGCTCTTGCATGGTTGGGAATAATTGTTATGAACCTTTAATCTAGGGATTGCAATAAAATCCTGTGTTCCCTATGTTTGGTGTTCAAAAAGAGGCTTTCCCCGTATTTGCCCGGCCAAGAAAAACCTATTTTTTTTCTTCTTCCTCTACTTTAACTCTCAATTAACCCTTAGCTTTATTACAGGACCTCAGAGAATGATGTATTTTGTTCCTATCCCCTGGTCCCTAGTATTTCTAAGCCTTAATTTGTCATTCCCAAGAGGGAAGGGACAAGAGCTTTGAGCTCTTAAATCCTGCTGTTGGCTCTTGCCTGATAGAGGTAAGCAGGGAAACTGATAGAAAGCTGAAGAAAGAAGCCTGTCCCTTGTCAGCATTCACCTGTAATGGACTCAGAATGTGGGGTTAAATACCGTAACTAGACCCGAGAACAGAAATTAATGGGGTACTTACACAGTTTCATCATTCTTGAACTCCAACTCCCCGTAAGTGTCTTCAAAGTCTTCTCCACCTCCCTTCGCTGTCCCTTCTACTGTCCTAAATGGCACTATGACTGTACCCCGTGCACCTGATGTCCTTAGGACTTTGACTTCCATCACACCAATGCTCTCACTGACATGTATAATGTCACACTCAAATGTGAAGATGCCAGCGTGGTCATCATCCAGTATAGTCACTGTGGCCACACAAGGAGAAGCCAACATGGCCTTTGGGTAAGGGGAGTTATTGAGCTCTGGAGGTTCCTCACTCTCCACCACACGGAGATTACTGAGCCGCACAAAGAAATGCTCATCTTCCTCAAATATGTCATCATCAATAATTCCCACCGAGAACTCCTTCTGGGTCTCCCCAGATTTCAAGACAACAGTCCCCTCTGTGAACTCATAGTCAGCACCAGCATTGGCAGAGCCATCCTCTGTTTTATAGTCCACATAGATGGTCTTGGACATGTCCCCTCCTTTCCGCACCACTGTCAGGAGAACGGCACCACAGTTCTCAAGACACTGGTAGGAGCATGGATCAAAATAAATTTTGGAGATGAATTCCTCAGGTTCTTCTGGCCGTACCTCATGCAAGCTAGTGGTTCTCTTGGCTTGCTCAGCTGCGTGCTTTTTCAGAATATTGCCAGCTCCCGTCATCATTCTGGTTGCTTGAATACGATAAAAAGCTCTGCTCTTCTGCTGGTGAGACAAGGCATAGTAGTTGGCCATCTCCACCAGCTGGTCCAAGTCCTTTTCTGGGTGCTTTTGCTTCAGGTCCTTTAGGATTCGGATCATCTCTTTGCGAGATTCATCTACCTCCTTCCCCTCCACAGTCACTAAGTTCCCATCTAGAAAGTGAGAGTTCATCATCTTGCCATCCATCTCAATTCCCTTAGGGTGATCACCTTCTGATTCTATGATAATGCCCCTGTGCTTATCAGTACGGTACTTTTTGTGCATATACTTATAGAAAAGTAGACGTCTATCTGCTATCCAGGCCAGAACGACACAAAGTGGAAAGAAGAATAGAGTGAGCAGGCCTTCCCAAACCTGAACCACACCTGGAGAGAAGACAGCAAGGATCATGTACAACCAGATGTAAGCAAAGATGCTCCATGCAGCTGTGACAAAGAAAACCCTCAGGTGTTTTATCTTCCTGGTTTCCCCATCAGGGATCACATAAACACAGATGGCAATGATGATAAACATATTGAAAGCAGCGCTGCCAACAATTGTAGATGGCCCCAGGTCTCCAGCTATGAATCCATGCCCACACACTTCTATTAGAGACAAGAGGATCTCAGGAGCAGAGGAGCCCAGAGCCATAAGGGTCAAGTTGGAAACAGTTTCATTCCAAATCCGAATGGTGGTTGTTGTGGTCTCTCCATTGGGTTTCTTAATTGTTATTTCTTTCTCCTGTGATGTAATGACCTCTATAGATGCCATGAAACGATCTGCAATGATGGAGACTCCAAGGAACATGTAGATCAGCGCTACAAAGTATACGATAACACGGGCAATTTTGTCCCCAAGGGATGGGTTTTCTGGGTACCATATTGGCAGGATAACACCCTCCTTGCAGTCAAAAGATCCTGAACACGAGCTGTTTTGTACTGTACTGGTTGAGTCTCCCGTCAGGCCAGCATCCACCTGCAAACCATGCAAAAACAGCACAAAAGTAACCAGCCCAAAATGGAGGAAGGCTGAGGTGACAGGCTGCAAGCTTAACCACGCCATACACAAGATGCAACTTCCACTGTGTAGATCCAAAAAGGCCAAGAACCTGAAACAAACAAAACAGAGAGGGGGGAGGGAAGCATGAGAGAGAAGGAAGATGCAACATTTACCCAAATGCACTTCAGTATCTCACCACTGAAGAGTACTGGTACAGATGTATGGGCTGTCTCTGCCACTTTGAAGAAGGTATTTAGCAGGGACTCTAACAAAATGAAGCATTTACATGCCCTGCAGATGAAGATCAATTGCTAGAAAAATAATATAGAGGAAAAGTGTGTGTGTGTATATATACATATACATATATATAAATAGTTCATATATATATATATATATAAACTCATATAGATATATATATATATAAAATATAGCTCATTCCTGACTTACATCATGTGCAAGAGGAGAACTGAGTGCTCAGCTACCACTCACCTAGTGATGCCATAGTTATCCCCAACACATAGCACTAGCTGTCAAACCTAAGGACCCCCCTGACTCAGAACCCAAGGAATAAAACAAGCAGTCTCTAGAAACATTAAAAGTACCATTTAAGACCAGTGACCAATCTCCAAAGGAAGTCAATTTGTAAGACATGATTTAGTCATAAATCATGGAGTACCTTTGTAGCCAAATCATTCCCACAAAGTTCCTTTCCTAACAGGCTGCAGAGTCTGCAGAAGGGTCCTATGGCTCCCCCAAACTTCTGATGCATGGGGAGTCCATGTTAAAATGTAAAGGTATCAAATCAGAAACAGGGCAGAAGACTTATGCTTGGCAAGTGCTAAAGGCCATTTATCACTAGCTTCTCCTTTGCCATCTGGACAGTCACATTTTACATCAATAATCATGCTTTTAAGTGGTCACAGAAACCTACAAAAATGCTACATTTAGGAAAAGTTGTGCTCATAAAACTCAGAAGACAGAGCAAAATGCACATACCCCCTACCATTCCCTCTGCATCCCTAAGAAATTGATATATTTTAAAATATCTCCTAAAATGAAAGTAATCTCTAACCTAAAATACCATACAAAAACAATGGAGCTGATTGATGTAGCACATAGATTTGGCATATCACTGCCCAATAATACCTTCTATTACTTACAGATTACATTGCTGTAGGGCTTGCACCACTTAAAATTGGATTCTGAACCCTTCACATTATCATGGATCACACTATTCTCCTTCCTTCATCATGGGCCTCTGGAAGAATTTGATCACAGGCTTAACTGACAAATCACATTTGTGAGTCCAGACACAGGCAAATATCTCACAGGAAACATCAACCTTAATAGTGGCATTATCTACAGCACTTGGAAGGTTCAAAAGCCTTAACTCCCACTAACTTTCATTGAGGTTTGTACTGCCAAATGAGCAGGCCTGGGATTCATTTCCCCTACTGTAACTACCCAAATCTTGGGCAGCAAGTCAAACCAAGTCTCTCAGGCTCCCTTTGTAGTAAGAGGAAAGAGACACTCATTTCCAGGGAATGATCCTTCCCATCCCACCCCGTGCTGACACAAAAGATATATTTAAGACCTACATTTCCAGAATGGATTAATTCCCTTTATACCTCTCTCTACTTTCTCAAGAGGGTGCCCAGTCAGGCAGTTTAGAGCAAGATGCCTGAACTTCAGATGACAGCAGTTCAAACAGATGAACTAGTTCCTGAACACTCGAGGAGATCCACCCTCCTCTCTGAACTGTAAATATTCCAGACAACATTATTGTGTTATCAGCAGTAATAAATGCATCTCAAATGGCTATTTTATCATCATACTGCGTTGCCTGCCTATTTCCAAAAGCGGGTGCAATCTTCCCAATATCAACAAAAACATTTTCAACTTTCAGATAAAAATCTATAAAGACAGCAAAACAGGAGGGAAAGTGTGAACACAGACTGCAAATGAACAAAACTGTTCCTGACAAAGCACAACAGAGGGAAGAGAATTGATTATGCAGTATCAGGATCACAAATCCATATCTGACACCCTTGATATTAAAAAACAATACAGTTCTTCATGCTGCGTGGACTAATTCAGAAGATTGAAATTCTCCCATGTTCGCCTACATACCTTCCCACTCCAATGCCTACTTACCTATCCTCCTGTATCCTAAAGCCCTGCTGCCTGATTGAGCTCCCAGGGATGAGAGGGACTTCAGCACCAGTGAGGACTGCTAGACAGCCCCAGCCCAAACCTTGAAATCTCACTAAAACATCCCAGTGCCTGCACAGCTCAGGGTAAAAGGGAGGACTGAGCTACCCAGCAAATACAACTCATTCAGTTTGATGCTACCATTTTCTCCTCCTTCTCTCTCTGCACAGTATTTGCCTAGATTTCGGGCTGCAGGGTGTTGGGAAACCTCTGAGAAAGGGCCAGTGAACATGCAGGCCAGTGACTATGAGCAAGCCCAAGATCTCTAGGCTGCAAGGTAGATGTGTGCACATGACAGCAAAGATGACACATCCCAGGTGCCTCTGACACAAGGTGCACACAGAGACCAGTTGCATTGCACGAGCACAGCAGCTCCAAAAACACCCCAGGCACATTGGATCATCCTTTTCCATACTGCAGCTGCTGGCAGGTATCCACCAACCTCTCAACACTTTCAACTCCCAGCTCCTGTACCACTTCCAGTAGGTGCTGTGTCTTCCAAGATCAGCCATGTAGAAATGGCTGACAGAAAGACAGGAGTAGTTTCAAAAACATAATATGTGACTCAAGCACCTAAATTTGGTTTCAAAAATTATTTAGGAGTCTAAGTGTCACTTAAATTAAGAGCCTTGTCTAGGAATAGTGCAATGACTAAATGCCCTCTGAAATAAATCACTGCTACCACCAACCTCTTTCTCTGTGGGACAAACAACTTCTGTAATTAACACTGTCTACCTTCTATAATGTCATGATGGTCTATTGCTAGGCATTCCTCAACACACTCGAGGACCTTGCCAGTTCTGTTTAAATTTTTAATTTTATTTTAAGCAGAGGAGAATCGTACTATTATTTATCAAACTAATATTATGTTATCTCAAAGACAATCTCTACCAGGGTAGCCTCTGTTTGTGTGTTAGGATCTTCAAACTCAGGCTGTGTTTTAGACTAAAATCTCAGAGTTCAGGAACATTTTTCTTCACTGATTTTCATTTGCTTTGACAACAAGTAGAGGTCACAATCATTTTTCTAAAATGAAACGATAATGACCCGATCCTGTAATTCTTTGCCACAGATAAAACTTCCCAGTGGGATCAACAGGAACTTTGCTCACAGCCATGCTGTCTAATAAGATCTTAATATATGTTCATTAACATGAAAAACAGTAACCTAACCAAACTGAAAAATATAGTGAAGCATTCTTATGGTCATCCCCCTGTTGAGAACTGCTGCAAAAATGCTTTATAACAGAATAAAAGCATTAAATTTTAAAGCTGGTCTTAAGAAAACATTGAGATAATGGTTTGACACTCAGGTGACAGAGGACAGAAGAGTTAAAACTCACTCTGTAGCTCCAGGTCAAAAAGGTCATTTATATAAGGTGCATGTTCTCACTAAGATATAGCTACTAAACTCAGTCCAAAAACCAGTGGAGGGAACTCCTGGCCTGCCTAGAGTGCAGCAGACATGCAGCAGATTCCTCTAAGCAGCACCACTGATCTCAGCAGGGCTGACTATGACAGGAGCCAACCTTCAGTTCGAGACCTGCTCTGAGCACCAGGCCTCCAGGTGGGATTGCACAACAATCCTGAGTCACTCCTTGGCACTCAGGAGGCATCATGGTGTCACCTCTCTGACACCAGTGAGACAAAACACCCATCTGGTGAAGAGAGGTGTCATTCTAGCACTGTCACTGCCCTGGCTCTACAGGATGTGAATAGCAGGAGGCTACAGCAACAGTAGAAACCTAGTTGGTACTGGGTGATCACAAGGATCGTAATTTCCTCTACCTCTCTGCTATCAGACATAATTTTCGTCCACAAGTCTCTGCCCTGCTACTGCTTCCAAACTGATTACACAGAAATAAGGGCATTGGCAGCGAGGGGACCAGAAAGTGTCCCCTGTAGGGTAAGTTCAAAGCAATCAATCAATGCAAAAGAGAGACAAAGTGCTGTGAGCATCACTGCACCAGGATGAGCAAGCATTCAACAGCACTGTGAAGACACATAATAGTTATTTTAGTGGAAGAAACTCCTTCTACCAGAGTTAACAATGGCCACATCATCTATAAATGCATAAATAGAACCCATAAATAAAAAGATGAGTCTTGAAATGCTTCTGAAGACAGTCCAGAGGGTAGTATGGTCCATGCTTGTAACAATTAAGGTCTCTTCCAACCCAAACCACTTTATGGCTCTATGAGACAATTCTATTTTATAATAGCTGAATTTCAGACGACCGATGGTTTGTCTCTTGTGGATTTGGCATGAAGCTGGCAAGGCTATACTGATACCTTATAATTTAGCTTTTTGTATACAACTTCTCACATGATTTTAAGGGTAATATTATTTTCAAAAGGAAGGCTTTACAAGAAATTAAATCAAGAGGCAACATAATACAATGATGGCTGATACTATGTAACCTCTACATACCAAGTTCCTAATATCACTGCTCATTAAATACAAAACCAAAGGCAACCCCCTAAGTCCCTATTAATTTCTTACTTAGGCAAAATGCCCCTTAAACCATCAAAAAAGTCTTTGGATTTGACCTAGAAATAAGATTAAGTCTTCTGGCACCTCCCTCTTTTTCCCTTCTTCCTCCCACCTCCCAGATAAATGAGACATAGGAGTACATCTGTGGCCATTCATCCTCTCTCCCAGAAATGAGACTAGCCAGGAAAGGCAGCTGATTAGATCTCAGCACGGGGTGAGCCCCACTCAGACGTGGGTGCTGCACTGGGGCCAGGCAGAGACGGCTCAAGGTGCACTTGGCAAGCATCTGTTCCCAGCACAGAGCAGATCCAGCCCTGCTATCAGCATCATCTCACAGCCCTGCTCCAAAGCTGGGGGAGACAGAAATAAGGCTCAGCTTAATAACATGACTTCATATTCCTCAGTT